CTACTTTCCACTTACTCCTCATAGAAGCTTAAAAGTATACTTGGGTTTGCCTTTCCTTTCCTCTTACTATCATGTTTAGAAAAAAAACTTCCTCCATTCCAATATGTTTTCTCCTTCATTCTTAATTTATTACTAGTACTTCTTTTCAATGATATTTTTGTTAACTAAATTTGCAAGCATGATGAAGTATTATTGCAATGTTAATTTTCTTGTTATTGCAATTTTAGATACTTGCATTGATCAAGTGAAACTAGAAGAGTTTGAAGAGAAAGCATCGGAATTTTACAATAAAGTAAGTAGTACTGACTAGCATTGCAATAGCATGTAGGGAATCACCACAGATATTTTTCTTCCTCAGGGACTTTGCTTGTCATAATCCACTTTATTCTCTGCTACTTTCAGCTATTTTCACAAATACCATCCTTCGATGAGGACATCCCAGAAAATTGTATTTAAAACTGTTAATTCCTTACTCCCAGCCCTGACTCTCTTTTGTTCTTACTTGTTCTGCTTCTGTTCAGTTTTATCAGCCTGACATACTACATAGTTTATGTGTGTGTATGAATGTGTTCTCTAGTTCTCTCCCTAAAGTAAACTTCATGATGGATTTTTCATTCACTTTATACATTTATCCTTGCAATTAGAACAGCTCTAACCTATGTGAAATTGAAAGATATTATTAGTAGTATTATTTAAAGATTTATTTATGCATACAGAACTGGTGTATAGATGAGTGGTGTTAAACAGTAACTTTCTTAACACACTGATTGAAAATTGCAAGTTTAAACTCAAAGAGGACTTTGCTCAAGGTTAGTTGTCTTCTTTCAGGTCAAAGTTATATCTCTTAGGTACATTCAGAAAATATTGTTTGCTGCATAAATGATTTCTATTGCCATGCCATTTTGTATATATCAGCAAGAACTTCTTTTTGATAGCTTTATAAGGACACATGTAAATACTTTGCTTTAGGCAGGAAGCTATCATAGTTGCTAGACACATTCTTTATTTTGGTGCATAAATTTGAAAAATGAAGACCTGAAATGTCAAAAAGTACATAGAGAATATTGAATTATCAACATCCTTGTAGAGATACACTAATACATTTACCCTAGGGAATGAAATTAAGCAGAGCCTCAACCTTAACTGTGTTTTTGACATTTTTGCGTGTAATTTTGTAAGCTCTAGTATCTCTTTTTGGAGAAGGCTATCATACCAGTTTTTATAAAGTATATCCTTAATGGAGATTCATTTTATCCCCAAGGCTACTGTGATTTGACTATAGGTATTACAAAAATGCTAAAGCAAAGTTTATATTTTTCCAACCCTTTTATAGGGAAGAAGATACGGAAAGTTACTACTTTGGTAAATAACACAGGTCCTTTCAATATGTGTAAGTTAACAAGTTCTCTTACAGTATGCTAATTATGATTGGTTGTTTTAATAGTTTCATTTTGTTCCCCTCAACACTCTTTTTTCCTTCAGTTTTATTCAAAGGTCTATGATATAGGATCACTGATAAGGTGAATATCTAACTTCTCTAAGAAGAATTTGTACATTCCTGGTTAACAAGCAGTAACACTGAGCTCCAAAACACAGAACAGAGAAAATGTCTTCTCAAAGGTTTTTGATGCTATGAGATTAGAGAGCTTTAAAATATAGTATTGATATAGTTACTGAACATATAAAGGAAGATTTGACAGGATTCGCTCATCACTTCATTCAACAAATATTTATTGTCTTTATGTATAAATGTAAAGCTTTGGTAAAGGTGGTGAATAAAATAGAAAAGGTTCTCACTGTTAGTGAACTTTCAACAAATGAAGTTGTTGAAAAGGTGACAAGTTCTGTTATTTTTACATTAGTGTAGCAATTGTTATGGTGGGAAAACACTATATGATATATATGCCTATAGGAATCCTCACCTAGTATCAGGTTACCCAAAGACATACTAGTGAACAGGACAACCCTGTTGGGTCAGTGTGAGGCAATGAGCTGAGATAACTGAGGTGGAGGCCTGTGAACGTTTACTTTTAATTTCTTACAGGAATATTAACCTTAACACATTCAAAGACAAATTCATCTTTCTTATCCTTAAAATACCTTATTATCTGCATATTCTAGTACTTGGGTTCCAGCTTGGAAACTAGCTTTTTTTAAATTCTTAAATTATTTTTTTGCTTCATTTCTTTCCCAGGAATCTGTGTCATACCTCATTTAAAGGGGCCTTCAATTCTTTCTTTTTTTAAATTTAATATAACATAAAGGAACTGGGGTATAAGCCAAAGATACAGGGAGTTGGGGGTGAGGATTCGACAGAGACAGACTGTGGGGAGCTGAACAGGCAGAGCTACTGAAATACACTGCTGAGGGGAAGCAGTGGGTGAGACAGGAGAGGTCTGTTGTGCCATATGGGTCAGCTCCCTGGCTGGGGATTGAACCAGGCTTCAGTGGTGACAGAGCTGAGATTTAACCCTGGGCCACCAGGGGAGTGCCTTCAGTTCTTGCTTGGATAAGTAACCCCTTATTTATTTCCATGCCTATTCTCAGTTCTATTCTGTTGCTAGTTGTATTTTCCAAAGTGCAAATTGGATCATGGTATTTTCTTATTATAATATACTAATAGCACTGTAAAGTTTTTAGGCAAAAAAGTAAAAGTTTTGACTTGCTGCAAAATTCCTTTCAAATATTTCGTTCCCTTGCACTACTCCAGCTTCATCCCATTCTGTTGGTTCTCTTACCATCCTTTGTGCCAGCAATGGGGGACAACTTCTCATTTTTCTACATACTGTGTTTGTCCGTCTATTTGAAATGATTCAGTATCCTCAAACTTGACTCAAACTCAAACGTCCCCCCCAAATCACTCTACTTTGTTTATTTTTGGTGAATTTCATAACCTTTGGCTTGTTAGATTCCGTCATCAGCAAACACTATGCTTATTAAAAGCAGTGTGTATTCTGCTTAAATCGGTATCTTCAATACTTACCCACTGTGCAAAACGTGGTAGATATGCTATTAGATATTTACTATATAGTGGGAGATAGATAATTTGGAGCCAGATCCTGGTATGTGGAGGGAAGTGGTTAGATACTAATGGCTATTTTATTATGAAGTAGCCTGACTGCCTAGTTTATTATGAAGCCTCTGATGGTTTAAGATCAAAAGAGACATTTCTTTGAGCTGTCCTTTTAAAAAGAAAATATTAAAGCCAACATTTATGGTATGTGTGTGGGGAGGGGAAGGACAATTTTGGCTTTGAAAATTGTGTGTGTGTGTGCGTGCCTGTGTGTGAAAATGTTCACTAATCTGTCAGAGTACATAGACTGCGGTCTGGGATTCAGATGAGAAGTAGAGCTGGTGACATATCTGGAAGCCATTAATTATGAATGGTGATTGAAACATATGACTGGTTTGTATCATTTGCAAGAAATGTGGAACGAGACACAGGTAGAGGGGTGAAGAAAGAAGACAGTTACCTGTGGGGTTCCAACATTAAAGGGTGGCTGGATTGAGGAACAGGAACCCAGGAACAGTCGGTAGGAGCTGTAAGGAGTTAGCAATCAAACCAAAGGAGTGTTTTCTAATGGAAAATACATAATACGAGAGATGAAATCTGAAGTTGTATTGAGTGAGTTTTAATTTTGGTGTGGTTTGGTGAAGTGAAGGGCATTTGTATGATGTTTACTTTGTAGCTTCTGTTATCTTTGTAAATGGGACTTATCATATCATAAATTTGTAAATGGGACTTATCATATTTCTTATTATAGTTTTTTTTTTTTTGGTGTGTGTGTTTAATACAAGATTGTTATACTTTAGACACTCTAAAATATGGGTGAGACTTTGTATGTGTGAGCAGTTTTATGGAAAATCTGGACCTCTTGCTCAATTTGGTAGTGTTTTTAAAATCTCTTAAAATAGTGTTTCAGTTTTTTTTTTTTTTCTTGAGCAGGATTTAAACATTAATTACAGAAAAAGGTGGTCTGGTTTCATTTCAATACCTTGGGTTTTGAAGAGAGAAAATCTGGCCTTTTCTTCTCACAATTTTTACTAATGAGCATGTGATGAGAGGCTAGTTAACTTACCTGTGTGTGTTAAGGGCAAAATAAGATTTATAAAAATATGAGCTTTTTGTCTACTGTTGTGCTCTGAATTATCATTATTTCCTAATTGAGCTTTAACTGTATTTTAAAGTCTCAAGGCAGCATTTGTAAAGTATTTACATTGAAAAAAAAATCTTATTTCTTAAGAGTATCAAATATTTACACTTGATTTTTAGACAATTCTCATGAAATTCACCAGTTAGAGGTTTTCAGTCATGATGATAGCAAAATGAAATAGTTTGCCTACATGATGGGAACTTGTGATGAGTGTCTATGTATAGTTAAAAAGTCATTGTATTTGGCCAAGTTTGTTTGCCTTCCTCCCTCTGTGAAAACTTAAATTATCATTAACTTAATGATAACTAAAGCTCACTTAATCCTTAATTTATTGAAGGTTTGGGCCTAAGTCAGGATTCTTAAATCTCATGATGTAAAAAAAAAACAAAAAAAAATTGTGATGACTTAAAAAATGGAGCTGTTACTAATAATGAAAATAGTAAAATGGAATACTTTTAAATCTTATTGATAAATTTTATAAAATTTTCAAGTATAAGACTTTGCACCTAGAGATCAGGGAATTGAGTACAATCCTTTGCTTCCTATTATTTTTACACAAAGTCACAATGATATTTAGGAACTTTTAAGAAAAATGTCAGGGTTGCAGATAACTATGGGTGAGTTTGGTCTGCTAAGAGAAGAAGGTCACAGACTCCATCTTTGGCTTTGTCTGCACTCTTGCAAATGAATGATTTGTTGGGACCTGGAGGGACCTACAGAAAGGCTGTGGGTGACTTAGCAAAAATCTACCACTCCTTTTATAAAAAGTTTATGTTCTGATGACAGATCATTAGAGTCATATTTCTATATGAAGAATAGTGCTTTCATTTTCATCTTTTGCTCTCTTGTGTTCGTTTTTTTCTCTCTGCAGTTTGAAAAAGAGTTTACCGACCACCAAGAAACGCAGGCTCAGTTGCAGAAAAAAGAGGCAAAGATTAATGAGCTTCAAGCAGAGTTACAAGCCTTTAAATCTCAGGTAAAATACCATCTATCTGGACTGAATTCTGGTATTGAAAGCTCACCAGGAGAACAAAGGTCATATCTTCATAGCACCAAAGTGTTTAAACTTTAATTTCACGTGAATGTTTTCATAGTATTGTTTATCTATATTTCTACGGTATGTTTGTTTTAAAATTATTTTCCCACTTATTACTCTATTTGCATTTTTAAGAATGGCTAAACATTTGCTAATTAATCTGCTTCCTTATATTTGGGTCTTATTCCTAATGCCACATGTTTCTGAAGAAATTAAACATAAAGGATAAAAAACTCTTTTACTCTTAGATTTGTCATTCACTACTGATCTTTATCCCACTAGAGGAAATTATTGCTCAAGCTATTTATTTTTCAAAACCTTCAGCCTATGGGTACCTTGCAGTGAAAGATAACCTCTAGCTGAATGAGAACATTTTCTGATAATTTTTCAATTTCCAAAAGTAAACAGATTTAAAACATGACAAAAACGAGAGCCAATCTGGATTATGAAGCAGATAGCTCACATATACCCTCCATACATAAAGCATTTAGATAGCAAGAACTACATCATCTGCATTTTTTAAATGGGTGAAAGTAAGGAGGTAGAGTATTCATAGCTAAATTTTTTCTTGTACATTTACATACAGGATGTTGAACAGTAAGTATAGTTTTGCTGTTTTCTTACATGCTAATTTTATGGTTAGGTTGAAATAATTTCAGGTATACTATTTTCTATATTGATATATCTATTGCCTGTGTCACTGGGAATTTTACTTTCTTTTAAGTACTTAGTAGACAGTTTTGTTTTTAGTCAGTGAATTTTTTTAGTGCTGCAAGACTTCAGTAAACGAGTTACTGAGATTTTTCACTTTTCCACATGGTTCATTATATTTCATATTAAAAGAGCATTTGATTACCTTTTATTTGTTAGATTGAGCTATAGCGATGACTGGAATAAATTTATGACAATTTTTTTTTCTACTGGATTAATAAATGTTAGAGACTTTTCTAATTTCTCCTAGTTGCAGAATTATGTAAATCTGCCCTGGAAAAATTCCAGCTTCTAGAGAATCATATCACCACCTTTAAATACATTATCACTGCATGTGGTTTTTCTTTAAGGTGGGAATGAGTTTGCATTTTGAAACAGATTAAATCAGAGAATCTGTCATTTTACATTGTAGATAATGATCACCTGTGCTTATAGTTATGAAAGGAAAGCCTGGAATTATAGACATAATATTGGCCACTATATTTATTTATGAAGAACAGCTACCAAATTCTTTGTTAGGATTTGACTGTACTTCTCTTGAAATGTATTCACTGTCTTAACATAGTTCTTTTCAACCAAAGACTTGCTAATTATGGAAGTTATGAATAGGTTTTATTATCCATGGTTTTATCCTTTTAGTCATTTACTGACAGTTACTTTTGGGTATTTGGAGATATTATGTTGAGCAAAATAGTGATAACATCTGGCCTCATGAAAATAGATTGAACTATTGCAGAGCAAAAATTCAGTCATACCTTTTAAGACATTAATATTTAATTGTACACTGCATAATGTGTAATACACCTACATTCAGTCAGTGCAGTATACATACATCCTTAACATTCAAGCTATCCAGGATCACAGAGACCTAGTATAGAACTTAACAATTCTACTTTATACTTAATGTTTTTGATAAGGCCTGTTCCTTGATTTGTGGTCTTATCTTTCTTTATAAGACTTTTTTTGGGGTGCTGATTGCAGATGTTGATTTTTTTTAAGTGATATGCTTTCCAGAACAGCTTTAAAACTTTTAAAATGATTCAGTGTTTATTAAAATATTCACCACTTTACACACACACACACACACACACACACGTAGGTTAGCATTGAAGTTAGTAACTTTAAGAAATAGTCACATTACAGATTTTCTCTGGTTATGAAAATGTTTCTAAGAAATACTATGATATGGGCGCATAAGCACAAAAGTGAACAGTGGGCACATTTGGCTCTTTTCCACTTTTATCTTTTAGTCAACTGACTGTAGATAGTTTTTTATATTTATATTCATACTATTTTATCTTGTGCTTCCCTGTATCTTGTCTTTAATTCATTTATCCTATAAATATTTCTTCAATGGCTGTCAATTGTCAGATACTACCTCACATGCTGCGGAAAGAGTAGTTACACAGACTTAATCAGTGCTCTCTGGGAGCTAATGATCAATTTGAAAGAATTAAATATTAATGATTCTTTAAATAATCATTTCGTACTTACCTAAGAGCTATGAATGGGAAGGACAAGGTGCTATGCATGCCAGATGAGTGATCCTAATAGGCTGTCCTGAAGAGTGGACAGTTAACCTCAAACTGAAAAAAGACCAGTAGCATGTGGTCATTTGAAGGAAATGTGGGACCATTTACAGGGGATATTCTAGGTAGAAGGAACAACTGTACAAGTGCACTGAGATTGGTATGAAGTTGGCATATGTGTATATACAAGTCACTTCAAAGATGAATTCAGGTGACTGCCTCATGACTTGTCTGGTAGGTCCAACTAAGAAGTTTTGGTATTTTTCTCAAGGACTAAAACATGTTTGGCTATACTGTTTAGATCTCTTGATCTGAATCTTACTTCTTTTTACTGATTTATTGTGTGAATTCTATAGAATTCTATATATAAACTGTTCCTCATCCTACACACTCTGAGTGACATTATGTGTTCCCATGACTTCAGCTGTCATCTAGAAAGTACTGATTTTCACATCTCCTGGAACATTCACTGAGAACTGTCAATGTCTTTGTGAGTTCTAGGAAACTTTGTCTTTAAGCAAAACTATGTAACAAAGCCACATCATTCTGTTCAATGTGACTTGAGATTTTTTTTTTTTTTAAACCAGTTCCATACCTGTTTCCCTGGAATTCCATAAATTGCCTTCAACTGGGGAATACTATTTCTGGCAATCACATATTTATGAAAATAAAAGCTTTTCTTACTTTGTCAAAAAAATGTAATTATGTGTTAGGTAAAACTGCTGAAATTCAGTGGTTTTGGTTTCAAGTGATAATTTACTTTTGAGAAAAGTATCCTTTACATGATTTGTACAGTGTTCTTAGTTGTGTGCTGTATTTTTCCCCTCCAGTTTGGCGTCTTGCCAGCTGACACGGTTACCTCTTTGCCTCAGTTACCCAACACTGGAACCAGCCCTGCAGCACTTCTCCCTTCTACATCACTGCCCTCTTGCTCAGATGTGCCACCGCCGCCTCCACCTCCGCCGCCACCACCGCCACCTCCTTTACTTCCAGGAATGTCCCTGCCATTTGGTGGTCCTGTGCCTCCTGCACCTCCCCTGGGAATTCTCAGTGGAGGGAAGTCTCCTCCTCCACCAACCCTGCCATTTGGGTTAAAACCAAAGAAAGAATTTAAACCTGAGACCAATATGAGGAGACTGAATTGGTTAAAGGTAAAACAAATAGTGGAAAACATAATACTATCTAGATTAAAATGTACTTCTATATTTTTTCAAAGTGAACCCTAGTCAAAGTGACGTTAAATAAAGACTTTTTTTTTTAAATAAGAGCAAGGCAGATCCTTTGCTATTGACTAATGTTTTCTGTTTATAACCTTGGTGGCAGTCAGTGTTAATTGCTGCAAATGGGATTTGGTTTACAATTAAATCGGTAATTCACATTATTACTATCGAACCCTCCAAAATGTTTATTAATGTACAAAGATGTTCATGTTCTAAGGATGTTTTATATGGGAAAACTTTACTAGTTGTCAGAAGTTGACATTTATTTTTTATTATTTTATATATTTATTTGTGCACACAGAACTGGGGGATAGGCTAGAGGTGCAGGGGTGGTGAGAGTATTCACCAGAGACAGAGTAGGGAGGGAACAGGCAGATGGATGAAATACACAGCTGAGCCAGAGTAGTGGGCGGGTCAGGAGAGATCTGCTGCCCCCTGTGGGTTAGCGTCCCCGTGGGGGATTGAACTCTTGCTGATGCTGCTGCAGCTAGCCTCTAGTGCTGTTCTTTAACCTGTTGGGCTACCAGGGAGGGCCGCAGATGTTGATACTTAGTCAGGGCACAGGAGTTGTGAATTGAGAATAAAATTGTTTTAATGCTCATATAATCTTGGCAAGTGCTGTGTAATGTATCTTGCGCGTGAAGTCAGTTCAAAGGCGCGTTGTTAAAGATACAGAAATATAATTGAGAGGTCACAAACTTTGTTTCATTCAGCTTCACTTCTGCCACTATTTGATTGGGAAAGTTTTTTTTTTCTCCCCCTGTGGTAAAATGTTACTTCTTGCAAAGCTTCTGTTTCATTAAACACATTTGTGGTTCTACAAGAACCACACAGGCATCTGCTGGCAGTTGTGGGATACTGGGTCTGTACATAGTAATGAGACTGGCACCCAGGAAACATCGATCTACTTATATATGTCCTATCTGATTGCAGATTAGACCCCATGAAATGACTGAAAGCTGTTTCTGGATAAAAGCAAATGAAAATAAGTATGAAAATGTGGATTTACTTTGTAAACTCGAGAATGTATTTTGTTGCCAACAAAAAGGTAAGTTTAACATCTTGTTAATTTTAGTATTTTAAATTGCCATCTTTTATGCACTGATCTTTAGAAAGCATGAGTGTCCTATCCATGGCATTTTTACCATGAAATGGGTAAACAATGTTTACAAAGTGAATATTATTCATAGAGTATCAAAGGAACAATTTAAAAATGCAAACAATACAGAGCTGTTTAGTTTTCTGTTTTTAAAGTTCTAAATTGAACTTTCATAATGGACACTATTTTCATAGATTATTTTGGTATGAATTTCAGTAGTTAATGAAAAATATTTAACCAACATTTAATATTCATGACTATAACATAATTAAGTTAGTATGAGTTACATGGCACAGAAAATACTACAGAGGGTGTGACCTAAAGTACATGTGAATTAACTTGCATATCAGAGCAGCCACGGGTGGTAAGCAAATCCCCAAAATTTTATTTGCTTTTCTTTTAAAATGTTTGTCTAAAATGCAATTATAATTAGTAAATCTTTCTAAAAATGAGTTGTGTTTAGGAACTCTAAAAGGTAGATTACTGTCGTCTTTTAGAATTTATGGTAAATACAAAGATGTAAGACATATTTTAGAACCACATTAATCTTGACCAGTGCAGTGAAAATGCCACATTTTCACTGGAAATGGGGAATTTTCTCAGCAGGTTTTTCCTAGGAAAACTTGTGAAGTAAGCAGATCTTAATTTTACCTTTTGATTATGTAGAATCAGAATTTTCTCTGAATAAGATTAGTGTGTTCTTCAGGCAATCAAGGGAGATATATGGCAGTTAAAATGTGTATTTATATGTAAAACACTTCAGAATTTCAGATTTCATAATCGGGAATTGATTGCTTTTCCTTTTGCCTTTCCAGTTGTGCAAATGGTGATACCGAAAAGCTATTTAAGTGATAGTGCCATCCAGTTACTCTTTTTTTCTCTTTACTCTGATTACTTTCTTAATTAATGAGGCTCAAAAGGGAAACTTGTTAGCATGTCTTTAATTTAGCTGTAGTGTTAGCCCTAAATGAAATAATTGTACCTTTAAAAAAATTTCTTAAGTCATCTAACTTTAGACTTGAGCTTCAAGGTTGGATGGGGTAAAAAAAAAAAAGAAACCAATTCATTTGCTCAGTCTACTACTACATAAAAGGTGAAGAAATTATTGTTTTCTATATATTCCATGCTTCTAGTCCTTTTAAAATGCTATCCACTTTTCCTGGACTCTCTTTTCATTTAACTTAGAAAATTTGGCACAAGTCTACAGGTTCTTCTGTTTCAGCTCACATAATGCTTTCTCTTTTGTGACAGTGAATGATACTTTCATTGTGAACAGAAGTGAGGGGAAAAGCCCAAGGTTGTAACCATGGGCAGTGTCACAGGAGACAAGTTGTGAAGGTGACTATTTTTTTTTGGTCTGGATTTTCTTTTTTCTTTTTTTAAAGATTTATTTATTTATTCATACAGAACTGGGCGACAGGCCAGAGATGTGGAGGGTGAGAGGATTCACCAGAGACAAGAGTGGGGAGCAGAACAGGCAGATCGACGAAGTACACTGCTGAGGGGAGCAGCGGGCGGGTCAGGAGAGGTCTGCCACACCATGTGGTCTCCTCCGGGGCAGGCGGGAATTGAACTCATGAGGAAGTGGCTTAAGCTTCTTAGTGCAGTGCTTTAACCCACTGCACCACCAGGGAGGGCCTGGTCTGAATTTTCAAGCACAATTTCCAGAAAATGTTATTTGAAGGGTCTTAACTGTTTTTTTCTAGTATTTAAGTATTTTATTGAAAGGGAGAATTCATTGTACTTTCAGAAAGACAGTATTTTATATAGATACAGGAATTGTCTGACATGAAAGCAAGAGGAGAATGTCTGGAAGGCTTAGATTGCGGGTGGAATGGACTGGTCATGCCTTGTCATCTCTATGGCTGATGAGGCACCAGTGATGATATTTGTCTGTTCCCTAAGATTCGGAAGCTTATTTTGTTTGAATTGATTTTGTAATTTCTGCAGAAATCAGAATGAAAGCTCACCATTTATTTATTGTGCAGTATAAAGCTGGGATACTATGTTCATGCGATAGTGAGCAAGAGGAAGTTATAGGCATTGGTTACTGGGTGTTTTCGTCATTAGTTTGCATCATAAGTTGGAGTGAAGGACCATGGAATCAGATAAGTGGAGAGCAGTGGATTTACTTAGAGAAATGGTGTCACTGTTTCTTATATAGTAACAGTATTAGGAACCTGTTTCTCTGTGGTAAACAATGTTTACAAAGTGAATATTATTCAT